GATCATAACATCTGACCATATCATCTGATCATAACATCTGACCATATCATCTGATCATATCATCTGACCATAACATCTGATCATAACATCTGATCATATCATCTGATCATAACATCTGACCATATCATCTGATCATAACATCTGACCATATCATCTGATTACAACATCTGAAAGTGACATCTGACCATAACTTCCGTTTATACCATCTGTTCATAAATCTGCATAACATAACTGTTGTGTGTGTGTGTGTCAGTGGTGCTGCCGACGGTCAGCAGTCTGCAGCTGCAGGACGTCACACACAGCACTATGCGTGTGCGCTGGCGAGAGGCTGAAGGGGCCTCTGGGTACATGATCCTGTATGCACCACTGACGGAGGGAGACGCCGCTGACGAGAAGGAGGTGAAGAAGAGTGATCGCAACTGTTCTGTCTAGTGCCTACAGTGACGCCTGTTTACTGTGCTGTGTGCGTGTGTGTGCGTGTGTGTGTGTGTGTGTGTGCGCGCGTGTGTGTGTGTTACAGCTGAAAGTGGCTGACTCTGTGACTCAGGTTGATCTGGACGGTTTAACTCCTGCTACTGAATATACGGTGACGGTTTACGCTCTGTACGGGGAGGACGCCAGCGACCCCATGACTGCGCAGGAGACCACGCGTGAGTCCTCAGACTGTTCTTTAGCTGTGGAGTGTGTGCAGAAACACTACATTACCCATGATGCTGTGCCAGGGCTGTGTGTATGGGTTATTCAGTGGTGTCACACATCGTTACGTGTCTGTGTGTTTTAATGAAGTGAGTGTATGTGTGTTTCTCTCAGTTCCTCTGACTCCTGCACGTAACCTGCGCATCTCAGACGTCACACACAGCTCCGCTAAACTGACCTGGGACACGCCCTCTCCACAGGTCAAAGGTCACAAAATTGTATATGTGAAGACGGACGCCGTGGAGACCAATCAGGTGAGTGTGTGTGTCTCTCATTGACCCGGGCTGTTCATATGAGTGTACTTGACCTGTGACCTTTGACCCTGCGTTGACCTCAGGCTGAGGTGGGCGTGGTCAGCACAGTGGAGCTGCGTAACCTGAGCGCAGTGACCGAATACACCATCGCCATCTTCGCAGTGTACGCGGAGGGCCAGGCGGAGCCGCTCACAAACACCTTCACCACCTGTGAGAACACACACACACACACACACACACACACACACACACACACACATAGGGTCTGCGTTCAGAGTGCCAGTGCAGAACCCCGCGTCTGCTGTATATATGCATGAAAACAGAGAGTGTGTTCCGCTGAGTGTGTGTGTTGTGCTGTTCTGCTGAGTGTGTGTGTTGTGCTGTTCTGCTGAGTGTGTGTGTTGTGCTGTTCTGCTGAGTGTGTGTGTTGTGCTGTTCTGCTGAGTGTGTGTGTTGTGCTGTTCCACTGAGTGTGTGTGTTGTGCTGTTCCGCTGAGTGTGTGTGTTGTGCTGTTCCGCTGAGTGTGTGTGTTGTGCTGTTCCGCTGAGTGTGTGTGTTGTGCTGTTCCGCTGAGTGTGTGTGTTGTGCTGTTCCGCTGAGTGTGTGTGTTGTGCTGTTCCGCTGAGTGTGTGTGTTGTGCTGTTCCGCTGAGTGTGTGTGTTGTGCTGTTCCGCTGAGTGTGTGTGTTGTGCTGTTCCGCTGAGTGTGTGTGTTGTGCTGTTCCGCTGAGTGTGTGTGTTGTGCTGTTCCGCTGAGTGTGTGTGTTGTGCTGTTCCGCTGAGTGTGTGTGTTGTGCTGTTCTGCTGAGTGTGTGTGTTGTGCTGTTCCGCTGAGTGTGTGTGTTGTGCTGTTCTGCTGAGTGTGTGTGTTGTGCTGTTCCGCTGAGTGTGTGTGTTGTGCTGTTCTGCTGAGTGTGTGTGTTGTGCTGTTCCACTGAGTGTGTGTGTTGTGCTGTTCCGCTGAGTGTGTGTGTTGTGCTGTTCCACTGAGTGTGTGTGTTGTGCTGTTCCGCTGAGTGTGTGTGTTGTGCTGTTCCGCTGAGTGTGTGTGTTGTGCTGTTCTGCTGAGTGTGTGTGTTGTGCTGTTCCGCTGAGTGTGTGTGTTGTGCTGTTCCGCTGAGTGTGTGTGTTGTGCTGTTCTGCTGAGTGTGTGTGTTGTGCTGTTCTGCTGAGTGTGTGTGTTGTGCTGTTCTGCTGAGTGTGTGTGTTGTGCTGTTCTGCTGAGTGTGTGTGTTGTGCTGTTCTGCTGAGTGTGTGTGTTGTGCTGTCGTGCAGCGTTGGCTCCGGCCCCGATGAACCTGCGCTCCAGTGAGGTGTCCAGCGAGAGCTTCAGGGTCACCTGGACCCACCCCGCACCTGACGTCACCTTCTACAGACTCACCTGGAGACCAGCGGCTGGAGGAGAGACTAAAGAGGTGAACACACACACACACACACACACACACACACACTGTAATTGTGTTCTCGGGTGTCCACCTGTGATGGATTGGGAAGTGTAGAGTACTGACAGGAGAGCGTGGGGAGCAGGGGGGGGGGGTCAGCACTGCATCGCGAGGCGGGAATCAAACTCGGGTCACCGTGAGGAGCAGAGCGCACGTGCCGACACACTCACCACTACACCACCAGCGCCGACTACTCTACAACCTTTATTTAGTGTTTTATTCAGTGAGGTGAGGTCTGACCAGTGTGTGTTTGTGTGTGTGTGTGTGCGTGTGTGTGTGCGTGTGTGTGTGTGTGCGTGTGTGTGTGCAGGTGCTCATCAATGATCACTCAGAGCGGTTCCTCCTCTCGGCGCTGCAGCCCAACACTGAATATGAGGTTTCTCTGTCCGCCATTTACAGAGACGAGTCCGAGAGCGAGCCGGTGGAGCTGAGCGAGACCACAGGTCAGTGTGTGTGTGTGTGTGTGTGTGTGTGTGTGTGTGATGATCTGCTCGTCAGTGGAGGGTTAATTACTGTCTCTGATTGATTAAAGCTGCCAGAACAACCACAGTGGCTACGACCAGCGCCCGGACGACACCAGCCGGTAAACAGAGTAAACACACACACACACACACACACACACACATCAGTCAGACCTCACTGACCCTCACACACACACAATGTGAGTGTGTTTTAAGGTGTGTTAATGTGTGTGTGTGTGTGTGTGCAGCGCAGCGTCTGGCCGTCAGGAACCTGCAGCTCAGTGATGTGACCACCTACAGCATGCGTGTGTCGTGGGACCCTGCGGGCCCGAGTGCGCGTCAGTACCGCGTGTCGTACATCAGCACACGAGGAGATCGTGCAGAGCAGACGGTAACACACACACGCGCACACACACACACACTCATCTGATGAGACATGGTGAAAACAGTCTATTTCTGTGTGTGTGTGTGTGTGTGTGTGTGTGTAGGCGATGGTTCCTGCAGGTCAGAGCTGGGTGCTGCTGCAGCCTCTGCTGTCAGACACTGAGTACCGCGTGAGTGTGTGTGCGGTGTACAGCGACGGAGAATCTCCACCAATCACACGCATCGCCCGCACACGTGAGCGAGCCCCGGGTCACACACACCCTCATAAAACACACGTTTAATACACACACACACACACGTTAAAACATATAATTAAGGTGTGTGTGTGTGTGTGTGCATGTTTGTGTGTGTGCGTGCATGTGTGTTCATGTGTGTGTGTGTGTGTGCATGTGCATGCGTGCGTGTGTGTGTGTGCATGTGTGTGTGTGTGTGTGTGCGTGTGTGTTCCCGCAGTGCCTCTGTCTGCCCCCAGTGGTCTGCGTGTGTCGGAGCAGTGGTATAACCGTTTCCGCATCAGCTGGGTTGCTCCGCCCTCGCCGACCATGGGCTACAGGATCGTCTACCAGCCCACGACAGGTACAGACCACACCCCCTGACCTCTGACCTCCCGCAAACAGCTTTGACTTCCTGTAAAGGTGACCTCTGACCCCTGCAGGTGGGCGTGCTCTGGAGACATTTGTGGGTGACGATGTGAACACCATGCTGATCGTCAACCTGCTGAGCGGCACCGAGTACAGCGTTAAGGTCATCGCCACCTACACCACCGGCTCCAGCGACGCCCTGAGCGGACGCGCACAGACACGTGAGTGTGTGTGTGTGTGTGATAGAGACTGCCATCTGCTCTTCTGACCATCTCTGTGTGTGTGAGTGTGTGTGTGTGTGTGATAGAGACTGCCATCTGCTCTTCTGACCATCTCTGTGTGTGTGTGTGTGTGTCTGCAGTGTATCTGGGCGTCAGTAACCTCAGCAGTTATCAGGTGCGGGCGACCAGCATGTGTGTGCAGTGGCAGCCGCACCGCCACGCCAGCCAGTACCGCCTCGTCCTGCAGCCGCAGCTCCGTGAGTGTGTGCGCAGCTGACAGATAAACACACACACACACACACACACACACACACACACAGACAGGTCAGTCTTCGGGTTTTCAGCATGTTCCACTCTTTCAGATGGTGAGAAACAGGAAATGAGGCTGCCAGGCTCCGCCTCCAGACACTGCTTCAGTGAGCTGAGCCCGAACACACAGTACAGCATCAGTGTTCACACACAGCTGCAGGAGACCGAGGGCCCCGCCGTCAGCACCACCGAGAGGACGCGTAAGTGTGTGTGTGTGTGCATGTGTGTGTGTGTGTGCGTGTGTGCTGCTGAACATGAGGTCTGCAGAGCCAGTGTGATGGTCATCTCCCTCAGCTAAAGCTGCGCAGGCAGACGATCACTGATCCAGCAGTGAACACTCGTCATCATCATGTGTGTGTGTGTGTGTGTGTGTGTGTGTGTGTGTGTGCAGTTCCTGTGAGCACGGCTCCACCCACCATCGCCAGCAGCTCCGCCCCTCCGCCTACCCTGCCCGCCACTAAAGAAGGTACAGCAGCACAAGAACAGCAGCGCACGTAAGAGGAGCACGGATGCTTCATGTGTGTGTGTGTGTGTGTGTGTGTGTGTGTGTGCGTCAGTGTGTCGAGCTGCTAAAGCTGATCTGGTGTTCCTGGTGGACGGCTCGTGGAGTATCGGAGACGATAACTTCCAGAAGATCATCCGCTTCCTGCACAGCACGGCTGGAGCTCTGGATCAGATCGGGCCGGACGGGACTCAGGTGAGCAGCGCGCACACACACACACACACACTCTCTGGTCATCTCCAGCTGTCCTCCGCTAAGGTGTGATGCTGTGTTGTCAGGTGGCCATCGCTCAGTTCAGTGACGACGCGCGCACAGAGTTCAGCCTCAGCTCACACAGCAGCAAAGAGGAGCTGCTCACCGCCATCCAGAGGGTCAGCTATAAAGGAGGAAACACCAAGACAGGTCTCACACACACACACACACACACACACACACACACAGTGTAAAGCACACCAGTCAACAGTGGATTGTGAAATTAAGGGACCCCCCTGTGTTGACTGGCTGTGTTCCTCTGGGCTGTGAGTGAGAGTGAGACGGTCAGTAACGTCATTATTATTATTATTATTTACAAATAAACAAGTAAATACTGAACATCAGCAGCAGATACATCAGCAGACAGCTCAGATCATTCAGATGAATAGCTGTAATCAATGAACAGAATCAGGTCATTAATGCGTCATCATTCAGCGTCTGTCTGTACAAACACACACCCAGAGCCCAGCTGAGTCCTGCAGCGCTACAGGACTGATGAAGACTGCAGACGACAGGAGACGGCACCTGTGATGAAAGGAGAGGCAATCCGGCTGTTTTATCTGTATTTAAAGTGTTTTCATGCCCAAACAAAGAGAAGCGCAGAACACTCGCATTCAAGAGCCAGGAGCGCCCCCAGCAGTATCAGAGGAAGACTGAAAATACAGGAAAACAGCTTCACAGGATGAAAGCGGGAGAGTAAAATACGGCAGAATGCGAGCTGTGTGTGTGTGTGTGTGTGTGTGTGTGTGTGTGTGTGAGTAACAGTCATGTTTCCATCAGACACTCTTCACTCTTACTCCAGTACCATTTAAGATTGTTATCTTTGCTCGAGTGTAGATTTTGGAGACTCCGCCCACCTCTGCACACACACCGTCACTGTAAACATACACACACACACACACACAGCAGTGCAACAGTGACCTCTGACCTCTGCAGGCCGAGCCATGAAGCATGTGAAGGACTCTGTGTTTGCGCCGGTGGGCGGGGCCAGAAGGGGCGTGCCTAAAGTGCTGGTGGTGTTGACAGACGGCCGTTCCCAGGACGACGTGCTGCAGGTGTCCCAGGAGCTCCAGGCTGAAGGTGACACACACTTACACACACACAGACGCACACACGCACTCACACACACCTCCAGCAGCATACACACGTGTGTTTACCGCTGTCACGTCGCAGGCTACATCGTGTTCGCCATCGGGTTCGCGGACGCGGATTACGGCGAGCTGCTGAGCATCGCCAGTCGCCCCGGAGACAGACACGTGTTCTTTGTGGACGACCTCGACGCCTTCCGCAACATCGAGGAGAAGCTCATCACCTTCGTCTGTGAAGCAGCCTCAGCCAGTGAGTGTGTGTGTGTGTGTCTCTGTGTGTAAGTGTGTGTGTGTGTGGTCTTCAGTGTGATGATGGTGTGTGTGTGTGTGATAGTGTGTGTGTGTGATGGTGTGTGTGTGTGTGTGTGTGATGGTGTGTGTGTGTGTGTGTGTGTGTGTGTGTGTGTGCTTTATCTGCTGATTCCCGCTGGGCTGGCCGGGTTGTGTGATGTTTGATTGGGGGATGTTCTGGGGGCGGGGTTAGCCGTGGGCTAGTGGCCCGACAGTGAAACACCACATGATTTCAGCCTCACCGCTCATGCTCCCGGGCGATTGGCCCGGCCCGGCCTGGTAAATGTCCTGCTCACACTGGCCCGACAGGGGAAACGCGGCGAGAGCGTCAGTGTTAGTTGAGCTTGGTGTGTGTATCGCCGTGTGTCCTCTGTGTTCAGCTGTTCTGATGGTGTTTTTCAGGGCGCTCCGGGTGAGTCGGGTCAGAAGGGTGATGCTGGTCCTCCAGGGCCACAGGTAAACCTCCACTTCCTGTCTGTGTTCTGCTTCATTTCCTGTCTGTAGTGTGCTTGACTTCCTGCCGTGTGCTCCTGCAGGGTGTTCCTGGATCTCCGGGGTCTGTGGGCCGTGATGGACCTCCAGGGTTACGGGTAACGTGCTTTACGTGTGTGTTAGTGATGTGTGTTTGTGTTAGTGATGTGTGTGTGTGTTGGTGATGTGTGTGTGTGTTAGTGATGTGTGTGTGTGTTAGTGATGTGTGTGTGTGTTGGTGATGTGTGTGTGTGTGTGTTAGTGATGTATGTGTGTTTGTTAGTGATGTGTGTGTGTGTGTGTTAGTGATGTGTGTGTGTGTTAGTGATGTGTGTGTGTGTTAGTGATGTGTGTGTGTGTTGGTGATGTGTGTGTGTGTTAGTGATGTATGTGTGTTTGTTAGTGATGTGTGTGTGTGTGTTAGTGATGTGTGTGTGTGTTAGTGATGTGTGTGTGTGTTAGTGATGTGTGTGTGTGTTGGTGATGTGTGTGTGTGTTAGTGATGTGTGTGTGTGTTAGTGATGTGTGTGTGTGTTGGTGATGTGTGT